TGTGGATCGTACTTATAGACTCAAGATTCGTCACCAGTAACGACTTTACTAAAGTTGCTAGACTCACCATTTTCGAATTTGCTTAGGAATAATACACTTCAGCCTCTTTTTGGGCCTCATTTAAAATTAGTGGTACCCATCGAGCCGATTTTTTCGTGTATCCCATATTATTAGTTATTATTCGTGATACAACCATGGCATTCAAGCTCAATTCGCAATCATTGCTTATGACAATCGACAGTTTTCGTAAATTTTGGACACATCATCAGTGGAAGATTTTTGTCGACCTTCTCGGGTCTCGTACTCTACGGCAAAATGCTCGGTCTGAAATTTTCGAAACCATTTAGAAAGAATCTTTAAAGGCGGTGTAATCGTTCCATATGCAATTTGGCATTCACTGAATATTTGCCGCGCCTCTAAATTACGCCAAAACTCGAAAAGAACCACATGGCGAATACCTGTTTGCGTTGGTGGTGGAGTTTCGTCTGACCTATCCTCAGCTATCCTGCGTTTGCTCATCTACAATACATTTTAGCCAATCATTCTAAAATTTGAATGGAAGACAAATAAAGTAATTGCGAAGTATTTGGTATTATTGGATTTAACAAAAACAAATTGAAAGTCACCAAATTAACCGAACTTTTCTTAATCCCCACGTATATGGTCTGTCTGTATATACTCGTACATATGCAAGGAATTGTAAAAGGAGTAAACTATTTGTCATGACGTTTATCCCATTTGAATCCTTCGTACAAATGTATTTATGTAAATGTAATCGTAGTGGCATTGCGGCTTTTGTCAGCCACGCAGTTTATTCTGAACGCTCCGGTAGGCATGCACCAGATGGCAATTCAGCAACAAAGGAAGCAATTAAGCGTTCCATTATATATGAGAAGGGGTGCGAAAGCTGTACACATTTATGAAAAAAACTTTACATACATACACGTGTACATAGATATGTACATTGTTGTGGCACGTTTTATGTGGTGTGGAAGTTATTTTGTAGTAAGTCGAACATGAAAATACAGGAAATAAAACTTTTTCGCGTGGCTTTGCACATATTTATGTATGTACATACATACATATATAAGCCATACGCAGGAAATTCTTGCAAAATACTATACATATATGTACTCGTTTGTACATATGTTTTAAAAATGTTGTGCTTTATATTGCCATAAATATTATAAGTTGATTATGGCGATAATTTATTTAAATACCAAAATTTATGTTGTTATTGTTGCTGTTATTGTTGTTGTTATTGTTGCTGTTATTGTTGTTGTAGCGGTCCTCCAACCCCGCTTACGGACAGCCTAGTAGTCTAAATCATCGAGGTCATCCAACGGACGGTATAGGAAATGAGCTGTTTCGACGGTTTCGGACCAGAGGGAGTGGAGAGTTAGATGACTTGGTTTTTGGTGGCATGCAAAAAGTGATTAGTGTCGTGCGTGGACTCATTGTATACATGTCGAGGTCGAGTCTGGATAAGTAGGAGTTAAACCTGAGTTGCGCCAGTATTACGCGTGCTCGAACTCTTCGTCTGCTATGAATGGTTACTTGACTCCGAGAACGCCATTTGCAGGGAGAGAGAGAGCTCTTAAAAGTGTTAACTGATTCTAGGTGAATGGCGCTAAGTACTCATCTGTACGCCTCCCCTGCGGGTTAGGGGTTCAAGAATTTGCCCGCGGAAAGGCATGCCTATCATAAGATGCGACTAAAATCCAATAGTTCCCGCGACAGTCGGGTCTTTATACCGAAACGACCTGGATTCTTATCCGGCCAAGGACTGTCACTTCCGCAACATTCCCCAAAAAGTACTTTAGGGTATATTTTTGCGGTTATAACAACAACAACAACATCTGTACGCCGTACTTCTAATAAATGTCTGTTGGCGTGCTCCTTCCGGTAGCATCCGTGTGTTTTGGCAGACCTGTAAATCGGTGCAGCGTAGTTTACGACAGGCCGTCCAATTGCTTTGTAAGTTGCCAGCAATGTTTCTTTACCTTTTCCCTCGCTGCTGCCGGCCAATGATTTGGGGATTTTGTTGCGCCTCTAGAGTTTTGTGACAATTGCGGTCGTATGCGTAATGTGACTTCCAGTAACTTTGGATTGATTATAGTTGGAATTCGAGCCTATAAACCTTCGTCGAGCTGGAGAGGATAGCCGAGATTGTAGTTGTAATAGTCTTGCTGTGAAGCAGTTCAATGTCATGCACCAGTCATCAATATCCTAGCCAGTCGCCAATACTGAGCAATCATGGGCATATGAGTGCAGGGAAACCCCTTCTGGTGATGGGGGGAGCTTCGATATGTAGTAATTAAACAGTTATTTGGATAGTACACCACCCTGCGGAACCCCTTGTCAGCCTTTCGGCGACCTAATTCCGTTTAGGTCAACAGGTAACTTTAATCTAAGGTCTTAAACGGAGCGACACCTTGCAGCTGGCATGCCGAAAAATCTGCCACAACAGACCCCGCCATTAGTTGAGTAAGCTGTTAATGATTTAAATACCAAAATTTATTATTGTTACGGTTTCTGCAACACAAAGTTGTTTTTGTTGTCTGCGATATTGGTGCATACTGAAAAATAATTATACAATATTTTTGAGTTAAAAGACATATTATAAATAACGGTTTTAGTGTTTTACGCAATTTTATTTAATTTTCTTTGTTTTTTTTTTATTATTTATTTGGAACATACGCATGCGTTTAAAGTTAGGAAAGCAAAATACTGCTATCGTTTCTTCTTTTTAACTACACACATACATTTGTAATACATATAGAGCATAGTATTTGAGGCTGTCGAAATATATATTTTTTATTCAGTTTATTTTATTTTATTTTATTTGAATAAATAAATAAATACACATATACTTATGCGTTTCAATAAATAAATAACATAACAGTATATAAGTTTAATATAATATATAAAAATTTACCGTTGAATTGAATAGCTGTATCCATGCTAACGTGCATAAATAATTTCTTTTTTGACATTTATAATAACTTTTCAATAGCTAAAAGCTCGGCTTAGCATACATTTAATTTAACAGATGGATTTTTAATGCGTCAAAATTATTATTTTTTTTTTATTTTTTTTTTTTTGGAAAACACATTTTAACATTTCAGCACTCATATTTTAGTTTTGCAAATGAGATTTTTTTTACAGCGCCATAATAAATTTAATATTTAATATATTTATCTAGTGTAATTTTTTTTGGCCGCAATCGAGTTGGAAGAAAATTAGCATTTCAACACGGTAGTTAAATAAACCGCATAACGTGTGGCATGGATACATTTTTTGTTACTTAATATCATGAAAATAATAAATAATTTTTTGTATTTTTCATTTTTAAATTTTTTTTGTTTTTTTAATATCTACATAAGTACTTTAACATATTTTTTTCTTTATTTTTCACATATAGATACTGGAATAGGCATTACATGGTGTACGCATGCGTTACAAATCGCCTGCCAATTAATTTACATTTACATAAATCGTGGGCAGTGCGCAAAGATTTTTTATTTTATTATTACAAGTAGTAGATTTATTGATTTCGAAATCATAACTATTTTCTTTTCTTTTATACGGTGAAATTTTTTTTTAGAAATATATTTATGGCTTTTAACAGCCGATTTCGCGTATAAAGGGTGCAATTCCACTCAAGTATTTATTTTATTTATTTATTTTTTACCGCTGCTTTGTAAAGAGGAATCTTTCATTATCAGGTAACATGGAAATGTTTAGTACATATTTTCCCTTTATTGATTAGCTATATGTAAATATCATGGAGAAATGTTACGTTAGGTTTTTTTTTTCTTCAAATAAATGATTAAATAAATATATTAAATTACGTTAAACGTAACACGTTTCATTAACGCTCTACAAAATTTTTCAATTCGTATGATCTTTTTAAATAGTAATTAGTAAATCATAATTTTTTCGTTATAAAACTTGGCATATACCATTTTCGAATTGAAATTCTACAACAATGTACTTTCTCCCAATCAATTAAGAGTTTATACATTTTTTCAAATATTTTTTCCACATTTTCCAATAACTCGTAGCTACGATATTCAACTGCATTTTCTTTAAATTAAGCATTTAAAATATTTATATTGGAATATCTACATACACGCATAATATACATAAGTACATACATACATATGAAATTGTATATATGGTATATAGATTCAGTCGCTATATATTCTATTGCTGTTACCCGAACGATTTACATTTTTAGTTTTCATTTATTACTCCTTATACATATAGACAATTTTCTTTTTTTTTAGTTTCGCATTTTTAATTTTCTAATTTATAACTTTCGCTTGAAAGCAACTAATAATATCTTTATTTTTATATTTTTCGAGATTATACCGTTTTTGCGCTACTAGAAACGTAGCATTTGCATATGCATACATATGTATATATTTTTTGTAATAATTTTTTTTTTCATATTTTCATTTCATTTTGCATTTCTAATAAAGTCCTAACACGATTGACTGCAGCGACTAAATCTTTATATAGAAATGGACGGGTTAATAATAACGTAGCTAAGTAAACAATTTAAGTAATATTTTTTGTTTTTGTTTTTTTAATATTTATCGACCACTACTTTTGGCTTAAAACTAATGTCACACAGTGAGAGAGCAAATATATATTTTTTTCTTCCGTTTTAATACATAGTTAAAAGAGGTAGAGTTTTCAAATTAAATATTTATGTATATCTAAGAAAAAATATAATTAATGAAGTACATAAAGAAAATTATACTTTGGAATAATATTTAATAAATTATTGTTCTTTTTTATTCGTTGATTTTCAATAAGTCTTGGCAAAATCCATCAACGCACCACTAAAATTTCCATTTTACTAACCAAAATTATTGGTTGTTTAATATAAATTATTTTTTTTTTTAATATTTATATGTAGAAATTAAGTAAAAAAAATATTAGCTATTACTAAGTGTGCTTAAACATTTTTTTTATTGTTTTGAGGAGAGTAAAATTTTGTGTTTTGTATGGAAATTTGTAAAAATACAAAAAAAAAGCCTACACTATTAGTTTATTACGTCAATAAAAGTAAAACCTTCGACAAATATGATAAATAAGGAAAACTGGCCATATTAAGAACTATAAATATCCGTTATATAAATACGTCATATAAATGCTAAAATAAATAATTAAACATAATTAAAAAATATCACTTTTCACTTCGTTTATACCAACGTTGTTATTTATATATAATAAATTAACTTATTTCATTAAGATGAACTTGCGACTGACTCAAAAAATCAACTAACCTAATCGCTTCAAATTTTCTACGCAAACAACAACAAAGCTTCTTCACACACATACAAGCCTCAATAAACATATCTATTCTATGCCGAAAGTATTCGTTTCTTCTACGGCTAACAGTAGCTTCTCATAGAGCAACTCGGGCGTTGGATAAGGCGGTAAATCTAAGCGATTAAAGCATGTATGCGCACGTGGCAATGCATTCGGTTTGCCCCATTTCTCAATACAAAATCGTCGTGGACCCGTTGAACCGCGCAACGCCGAGAAGCCTTCATACGGTATGCTCGAGGTGCCGGTGACAAACTGTAGCAGCCGTAAACGTTGTTCATTTGTAAATTTCTCAATAACTTGCCAAAACCAAATGATCACTTGATGGTTATCATGATAACCGGAACGATATTCCGTATTCAAACGCCAATCGTTGGTATCGATTTCCGCCGTACCCGCAATAACCAATTCCAATTCACGTGCATCAAATACAGAGACAAGCCGTGCATCGACCACCTCATAAAATCCACGCACCAACGATTCCGTTTGCTCTTGTACACCACGCTCCAATCGCCATTTAATCATGCGTTCCAAATATTCTTTTTTATTCTTCTCATTAACAATAATATTCTTACCACCCGGTTTCAACTCACGCTCCACCACATGACCCAATAGCTCTTCGGTTACACAAAATGTTAGACCAAGATCAATGCCGGTGCCGATATCATTGTCACGTATCCATTGCAACGATTGATGAAACTCATTATCAAGCGATTCCAGATCACTCAATGCGACGGGCAAGCGTAATAAGGCCTTGTAAAAGGGTCGTGTAAAGAATGCATCCAATAGATATTGATGTACGAGTGCCAAGCCCAATACGCGACCACCGAAGCGAAACCAATCGTGGCAATTGTCCACGAAAGCGGAGAGTGGTGATACTTGTACGGTGTATGTATCGTTAGCTGAATATTCAAAGAGGCCATAATAGGGGTTGAAAAGCTCACGTGAAAGTAGAAAGAAAAATTCTCTGCGAAAGAAAAAAAAAATACATGAAACATATATTTTCTATTTAATAATTTGTAAAACAAATTCCTGCTGTAATAATTACCTTGATGGTCCGCCGTAATCTAAACCTTCTTCCGTATCCCAAAGCACAGCGAGACGTCCACGCTGCAAATCTTTCTTATTGGCAGACATTATGCGCCTGAAGGCATCCTCCAGCAAATGTGTGCGTCTTATGTGTAATCTGCATTGAATTAAATTAGTTACATTGATTATTTCATTAATTTTGATTACGATCAAAATTGCATTTTTTTATTGCATTTCCTCTTACTTTAATTTGTGCGGACCCTGTCCGTAGCCTTTCGATTCTAATTTACGATAGAAACCTCTCAATTTCGCTTCAAAATCACGTCGGAACGGTGGCGGTGCTCGCTGGGGCATACGAGAATTGAGCACGGGCGAGCCTTGTGGACTGCGTTCTTCAATAGGAACATAGCTCATAATCTCCTGTTCGAAGAGACTGTAAAGAAAAGCGGGTAAATGATTTATAAAAAATATCCGTAAATATTAAAAATTGTTCACAGTGCATAAAATTACAACAAATTAATTGCTGTTAATTTTTTTTTATTAATATTTAATATCTCTGAATAAATGACGGTATATTAATCAATATCAAAAGCTTAAAATTTGTAATGATTATATTTTAAATCAAAAGCAGAAAAAAAAATGATTGCAATTTATGTTGCTTAGTGCATATATACATATATACAAAAATACGATGTGAAATGTATAAATAGTAGTAGTTAATGTATAAAATTTATTAAAAGTTTCTGCCTACATACATACATAATACAGTGCGCAAACTTTTCACAAAGAGAGCATTACTCAATTTAATCCTACACCAACAACAGTTTTTTAGTTAGAGCATAAAATGTGCGTAATAAATTATAAAAATAATTTTTTTTTTATTCCAAAAAAAATTTAAATTTTTTTATAATATTTACTCCTACGTTCGGCTGAAAATAAATAATCGTTAAACTAAGTTTAAAGTCTTTCAATTACATTTTCTCAAAGTCATAGAACAGAAGGTTACGACAACTGATGACGTCACTGAATCAATTTCGTCATATTCACAGCAAACGAGACTTGATATTTATATTAACAAAAACAAAATTTTTAAATATATATATGTGAAACTAACAACGTAAAACTGGACAGAATGGTAGAGTCATGTGAGCACTGTTTTGATTGCCCAAGAGTTGGATAAGCAAAGAAGCTCGATCGCTGAAAATAAAATAAAATAAAAAGTCATGTGAGCACTGTTTTGATTGCCCAAGAGTTGGATAAGCAAAGAAGCTCGATCGCTGCTGAATCGTAATGATTAAAAGGAAATCAATTACAGCAACATCAAATGAGATTGGTCGTGATGGGAGGTCTGCGAGCCGACACAAATGGTCTCCAAGTTAGAATTGACGACCAAGAAGGTTACGTTTTGTATTTGCCAGGATTGACAAAGAGTCATCAATTATGCGTTGCTTTCCTACGACCAAACTGTTAATTCGGATCTGTACTATGTGCATTTGAACCGCCTGAAAGAAGTAATCACCCAGAAGCGCCACAGGAGAAGTATTTTTAATTTCATTATTTTCATTAAGACAACCCCAGACCACAAACATTGATAGTGACTTCCCAAAAGCTCCGTAAACTATCCGGATCTCGCACCAAGGTAATCTGTTCCTGTTTATGGCGAACGATTTGGCTGTTGAAGAATTGGTATCAAAGAGAAGCCTGCGGAGGTCGATTGTCCCAACTTTTCACCAGTAGAAACAAGGGTGTCTAAGAGAAAGGAGTAATTACATAATAATTGAAAAAAGTTAACGAGCAAAAGGGTGCATATGTGACATAAATCGGCTAATCCTTAACTATGGTAAATAATGGATGCCTTTCTATTTGACCTAAGCATTATCCATTAAACTATGCGGTGAATTCACTTTTTCTTAATGCCAAAACTTCAAGTTTTCAAACCAAAAAGTTTATCATTTAATTTCAAAAGTACGAGGGTTCACGAAGATGACTTCGTATTCCCCATATTCGCATATTTGTATTAATTTTCCAGAAAATATTAATATAAATCACACACACAATTTTCTCACAAATTTTGCTTGACATTAACCCGTTTCGATGTTTTTACCACAATTTTTCCTTAAGACAAGGATCAATCCTTTCTCAAAGGCTTTGTATTTAATAAAAAAATAATAATAATAAATATAAAATAAATATAAAAAAGCACCTTTGCTTAGAATTTAGATAATTCGAAATTATGCAAACATAAATCGGAAAATTATGCTGACATTATTTTAAAGACTTTGGCAACACACAAAATTGAACCAACTTCATCATTATGCATATGATTATGCTATTGGCCTAACCTTATTCTCCGAATGCCTTAAAATTTTGTGATATTTAGTTTCAGAACTTAATTTACTGACCGTTATATTCAAGTGTTTGGCAGTGCGTACTGTAATTCGGTAGGCGAGGGTTAGAGTCCTGCTTCGACCAATATCTAAAGTTATAGAAAATTAATTTTTCTAATTGCGTTCACCCCCACTGAACTGAACACAGCAAATAATTGAAAATATGGACAATGGTTTCAAATTAACAAAAACTCCAAAAACATATAACTTTATAGACTTATACCATTATCGCCACATTTCCACAAATTATTTACATCCTCCATAAATTAGTAAATGTTTTTAACTTAATTACAAGCAAATTATATTTCCACCAACATTTTTTCTGCACTCACCGCACAACGATAACGATGGGTGAGTACGAAAACTTAATTTACATTAATTGCCCTTGAACTACAGTAATTGCAAATAAAGGTGGATAGACGAAATTTGACAATTGACATACCAAATTAATTCGCAAAATAAAAAACCGAAAAAAAAAATTTATATGCAAACATATAATTTTTTTGCAAGCTTCTAGTTTACACGAAATTATATATGTAGATTATATTGGGAAAAAAAAACCTGCATAAATACATATGTACATAGGTATATACATGTGTTACGAGTACACGCTTAAACATATCAACAGTAGATGCGGGCGCAAAAATAGAGATAATTAAATGGAGTAAAATTAGACAAAAAATAAAATAAAAAAAAAATAAAATAAAATAAAAAAATAAAACTAAATGATATAAATTTAAAAATAAAAATAAAATAAAACAAGACCAAATAAAATATTATATAATGAAAAAAAAAATGAAATAAAATAACAAAAAAATAAAATAAAGAATAATTAATTGAAATAAAAAATAAACTATGGTATAATATAATAAAATAAAATAAAAAAATATTAAAAAAATAATTAATATAAAATTTAAAAAAATAATAATATAAAATTAAAACAATAATAATAATAAAATAAAACATAATAATAATAATAAAATAAAACATAATAAAATAATAAAAATTAGCATAATTAAAAAGAATAAAATATTTTAAAAATTGATTAAAAACAAAGCAAAAAATAATTAAAAAAGTAAAATAAATAAATTCATATTAGCAAAATTAAAAATAAATAAAATCGACAATATAAGGTGGAAGAAAATAGAACAACAAATAAAATAAAACAGGGTAAAATAAGGACAAAATAAAATCTGAACAAATTAAATAACCAAAATATTAACTTTAAAAAATAGTAAAAATGAACTAAAAGGTGACTAAAAATAAAATTAAGCGATTTGAAAGAAGTAAAATATATAAAATAATATCTTTGTAAAATAAAATAAAATAAAATGAAATAAACTAAAATAAAATAAAATAAAATAAAATAAAATAAAAATAAAATAAAATAAAGTAATATAAAATAAAATGAATAAAAATAAATTAAAATAAAATGAAATAAAATCGAACAACAATCAAAATAGTCAAATTAAAAATAATTTGGAAATAGTTTCAAGTAAACAAAGTGAAAATAAAATAATAAATAAAATAACTTAAAATAAAAATAAAATTTAGTAAAATATCAAAAAACCTCAATTGCCAACTCTATAAATACATACAGAAAAAGAAACACCAATCGTTCAAATTACACCATCCAATGTAAGACAGTCTACAACAAAAAAAGCACCATCTGCCCGCCAGTAGTCCGTCATTCAGTGGTCACGATAAATGCTCGCCCATCAAACTCGTCGGTGCATGAGCCATCAGAGCCACACTCACATGTCAATATTTATATTAGAGTTAGAAATGGTGTACATGTCATCAACGGCTCCAAGCGGAGACAAACTTACTCACTCACGCCCTCAAACGACGCACTCACATACACATATACACACACACACAACACGTCAGCGTAATTTTTACTTATATTCACCCATTCATCAATAGGTACAACAGTCATGCAGCATAAGACGATATACGAGTACATGCTCTAGTATATACGTATATGTTTATGTATGAGAAAATGCTTGAAAAGTTTCATATTTAAAATATCATGTGCATGACTACCCACCGAGTTAATTGTGAACAAAATAAGTCTTAATGAAATAATTGCATTTTAAATTCAGCTATCGCCCTTACTCGGGTGCTTCAAGTCGGCGAGGGGGAGAGACAAAGATGTTGGAGTTTTTTCACTTTCGTTTCTTTGTTTTTTCATTCGATTTTTGGTTTTGTTTTGCTCCGCTCCGAATATTTTTCGCGTTTAATTTGAATCAATTAATTGAAGACAGAAAAAATGTTGCTTAGTAATTTTCGCCGATGAGAACTTGTGATCTAGCAAAATCAATAGAGGTGATGTCACAAGATTGAAGAGTTGGCTCGAATTAAAACTTCACAGAAAGCTTCGCTGAGGAAAACAAGTTTAGGTGTTTCTGAGCGGATTTCTTGGCCATCCCAACCGGCGAGTTCTCTCTGATCGAGATTATCTAACGTTTTATAGCGCAGCCTGTGGAAAATGTTGCATCCACGGCGGTTCAGGCTATTCCAGGGTATGCTACCGTCTTTCAAAAGGAGATTGCAAATACTACTGAAGTAGTAGACTCACTGCTTCGGTGGAAGATTTATTCCGGTAGCCTATTAGCCCTAGGTTCACTCATATTAAGCTCTAAAATTTTAAAGGGATAGTTGTGGCATCGACACACTTCAGAATAAAAATGATATGGGAACTGCATCCCACGTATGGGTATCGTACTAGAGAGTCGTTAATGCTGGAACGAAACGCAAATAGGCATTCCTCTGCTTCTAAACAGTTGGACTTTGAAACAACCGAGCAAGCGCACCACCCCAGGCGAAGGACTAGAAATATTAAGATCACAATTCTAGCATGCAGTAGGATTTCTAACTGGACATTGTCTGAGGGGCTTTCAACTCTACATCTGCCTCTACATCTGCGGTTGCGCAATTCTTCTAGCTCTTCACGGTAGACCGCGAAAAGCAAGGTAGACTTATTTCTAAAACTCAAACTTCCTGCAATACCACTTATAAGAACAGCGCTGCGTTGTAGACGCTG